GGCACTTCCCTGGTAAGAGGTCAGTTTCTCCAGAATGCATTGAACAGCTTGGTAGCAGTTCTGGAGAAAAAGTCAGCAACATCCCTGCATGGGTTCAAATCTGATGTGCTGCTTTCACAAAGAAGCTGACTTGTACTTAACCTCACCTGGAAAAAGTCTGTCATCTTTTAAGTGTGTTCATGCTTTTGAAGAAGCAATTTTGTTACTGACAAGGATTTTTTTAATATTTTTAGGTAGCTGATGTTGTGGTGTCTGGTATCTTCTGATAGATTTTAATTTCCTGTCGTACTGATGACTGTGGCCCCAGGTGTTTCTGTGTGAAAAGCTGTCATATTATACTAGGTGTGCTTCCTTAGATTCATCATCAGAACCCTGACTCATCAGCACTGACTGCTTTCCCTACTATTCCCTACTATTGCTGTGCAGATAGCTGTTTTATTTTGAATGCTAAAAAGGTTCTTCCTTCCTCAGGGCTGGTATTTACCATTCAGGAAAGTCTCAAGCTGAAAGGGAGATAAAATCGCCGAGGTCCGCGGCTTGGAGCTGTCTCTGGCAGAACCGCCGTGACTTTTAGCGAGGTACGGGGGGATTTAATCGCTTTCCTCATCGAGGATTCCCACGGCAACCGCGCGGACACCGCTCTCAGTCGGGCTAGTCTCCCGAGAGCAGCTGATGCAGCGCAGGCGTTGCCTAGGCAGCGGCGGGAGATTTAAACGGGAGCAAACCGGAAGCGGCCCTTGATCGCCGCTACAAAAAGCCCTCGAGAGGGCAGCGACACGTCGCTGCCCACCTGAGGCACTGCGGAGGAGGTAGTACAGCTCTCTCCCAGGCTGTCTTAACGTGGTGCTTTTGTAAGGTACCCCTGTCTGCACTCCCCTGCAAGGAGACCAGCTTCAAGGCAGGTGACCGCTCTCCCACTCGCTGACCCAGTGACTGTAAGTTCAAACATGGTCTTTACCAGACGTCAGGCATGCTCCAACAAGTCTGTGGCAACCCAGACAGAGGGACTGCCCAGATCTGCAGCGGTCCAAGCCTCTGGCTGCAGGGAGTGCCTGAGTTTGCTGCTGCCAGGGGACGATGGGAGGGATGCCACCTGCGTGAGGTGCGAACAGTTGGATGAGCTGCTCAGCCTTGTGGTAGAGCTTAGGGAGGAGGTGGAGCGGTTAAGATCCATTAGGGACTGCGAGAGGGAGATAGGCTGGTGGTGTAACTCTCTGCAAGAAACAAGCAGAGATTGCAACCCCCAGCCTGTAGTGGACTCTCTGCCTTACCGTAGTAAAAACGAGAGAGCTGACTTGGGAGGAGAAGAGGAATGGCAGCATGTCCAACCTCAGCGACGCAGGCGGCGCCCTCCCCGACCTACCTCGGTTCCTCAGGTGCCCCTAAGTAATAGGTTTGAAACCCTGGAACTGGAGGGTGAGGAGGCTGAGAACAAGGTGGTGGAACAGCCTCTGAGCTTTGCTAAGGAGAGGCGGTCGGCTCCACGCTTGAAGACCGCCTCTTCTGGTAAAGAAAGGAGGGTTATAGTTGTAGGAGACTCCCTTCTAAAAGGAACTGAGGGCCCGATATGTCGTCCTGACCCCACCCGGAGGGAAGTGTGCTGCCTTCCTGGGGCACGGGTCAGGGACATCTCTAGAAAGCTGCCTGGGCTTATTCGCCCGTCTGACTACTACCCCTTATTGGTAGTTCAGGTTGGCAGTGATGATACTGCCAAGAGAAGCCTAAGGGCAATCAAAAATGACTTCAAGGGTCTGGGGAGGGTACTGGATGGTGTGGGAATGCAAGTGATCTTCTCTTCTATCCCTTCAGTAGCGGGGAAGGACTCTGAGAGGATCAAAAAGGCCCTCCTCATCAATAAATGGCTTCGAGGATGGTGCAGGCAGAAGAACTTTGGTTTTTTTGATCATGGGGCAATTTACTCGGCTCCTGGCATGACGGCTGCAGATGGAGCTCAACTGTCTACAAGGGGTAAAAGGATCCTAGCCCAGGAGCTGGCAGGCCTCATTGAAAGATCTTTAAACTAGGTAAGAAGGGGGAAGGGGACAAAATGAGGACTGCTGAGGTTCAGGTAGTTCAAGGCTCAAAAGTGAACTTGATGGGTGACGAGGGTGGAGTTCGAAGGGATGGAGTGTGGCAGGGGAATGCTGCCTCCCTGAAGTGTCTATACACTAATGCGCGCAGTATGGGAAATAAACAGGAAGAGTTAGAGATCTGCGTGTGGTCACATGGCTATGATCTCATTGCGATCACAGAGACGTGGTGGGACAGCTTGCATGACTGGAATGTTGTCATGGAGGGCTATGTGCTTTTTAGGAAAGATCGGCCGGCAAGGCGGGGTGGTGGAGTTGCTCTTTATGTAAGAGAGCAGCTTGAATGTACTGAACTCCACCTGGGGGAGAGTGGTGTAGCAGTGGAGAGCTTGTGGGTAAGAATCAAGGGGTGGGCTGGTATGGCTGACACCGTTGTGGGTGTGTGCTACAGGCCCCCTGATCAGGAGGAGGAGGTTGATGAGGCCTTCCACAAACAGTTGGAAGCAGCGTCATGATCCCAGGCGCTGGTGCTTATGGGGGACTTCAATCATCCAGATATTTGCTGGAAAAGCAATGTGGCCAGGCATGCGCGGTCCAGACGGTTCCTGCAATGTGTTGAAGACAACTTCCTGATGCAGGTGGTTGAGGAATCGACGAGGAGAGGGGTACTGCTGGACCTTATTCTCACTAATAGAGAAGGGCTTGTCAGGGAAGTAAAGGTCGGGGGCAGCTTGGGTTGTAGTGACCACGAGATGGTGGAGTTCAAGATCCTGAGTGGAAGAAGTAAAGCAAAAAGTAGGATTGCTATCCTGGACTTTAGGAGAGCCAACTTCGGTCTCTTTCGGGGCCTACTTGGAGCTGTCTCATGGGCTAGGGTGTTGGAAGGCAAGGGGGCCTGTGAGAGCTGGTCAGCATTTAAGCAGCTCTTCTTCCAAGCTCAGGATCGGTGCGTCCCTGTGAGGAAGAAATCGGGAAAGGGTGGCAGGAGACCTGTGTGGATGAGCAAGGAGCTCGTGCACAAACTCAAAGGAAAGAAGAAGGCCCATGAAATGTGGAAAAAGGGTCTGACTACTTGGGAAGAATACAGGAATGTTGTAAGGGTCTGCAGGGATGCGACAAGGAAGGCTAAAGCCCGCCTGGAATTAAATCTGGCAAAGGGGATAAAGGATAATAAAAAAGGTTTTTTCAAGTACATTAACAGTAAAAGGAAGACTAGGGAGAATGTGGCTCCCCTGCTAAGTGACGGGGGTGTTCTGGTAACGGGGGATGCTGAGAAGGCGGAGATACTGAATGCCTTCTTTGCTTCTGTCTTCAGTGAAAAAGCTCCCCCTCGGGAATCTGAGACCCTGGAGATTAGTGAGAGGATCTGGGGAATGGAAGACCCCCCTTTTGTCAGGGAAGAGGTGGTCCGGGAGCGCCTAGGCAACATCAATGTTCAGAAATCCATGGGACCCGATGGGATTCATCCACGGGTGCTGAAGGAGCTGGCAGAGGTGATTGCTGAACCGCTTTCTGTCATCTTTGAGAAGTCTTGGAAGACGGAGAAGGTGCCTGAAGACTGGAAGATAGCCAACGTCACCCCGGTCTTCAAAAAAGGCAAGAAGGAAGACCCAGGCAATTATAGGCCAGTCAGCCTCACCTCTGTCCCTGGAAAGGTGATGGAACAGCTTGTACTGGATGTCATCTCCAGACAACTGGAAGAAGAGGAGGTTATCAGGAGTAGTCAGCACGGGTTCACAAGGGGGAGGTCGTGCTTGACCAACCTGGTAGCCTTCTATGATGTTGTCTCTGGCTGGGTGGATAGGGGGAGAGCAGTGGATGTAGTCTACCTTGATTTCAGCAAGGCATTTGATACTGTCCCCCATGACGTCCTTATAACAAAGCTGAGGAAGTGTGGGATAAATGAGTGGACAGTGAGGTGGGTTGAGAACTGGCTGACTGGCAGAGCACAGAGGGTCATTGTTGGTGGTGCAGAGTCCGGTTGGAGGCCTGTAACCAGCGGTGTTCCTCAGGGGTCTGTGCTGGGTCCGGTCTTGTTCAACATCTTCATCAATGACCTTGATGAGGGGATAATGGCCACCCTCAGCAAGTTTGCCGATGATACGAAGTTGGGAGGATTGGCTGACACGCCTGAAGGCTGTGTTGCCATTCAGCAAGACCTGGATAGGCTGGAGAGCTGGGCAGAAAAAAACCGGATGAGGTTTAACAAAAGCAAGTGTAGAGTCTTGCATCTGGGGAGGAATAATTGCATGCACCAGTACAGGTTGGGGGATGAGCTGCTGGAGGGCAGCTCTGCGGAAAGGGACCTGGGTGTCCTGGTGGATGACAGGTTGGCCATGAGCCAGCAGTGTGCCCTTGTGGCCAAAAAGGCCAATGGCTTACTGGGGTGCATTAAAAAGAGCGTGGCCAGCAGGTCAAAGGAGGTGATCCTCCCCCTCTACTCTGCCCTGGTAAGACCTCATCTGGAGTACTGCGTCCAGTTCTGGGCTCCCCAGTACAAAAAAGACAGGGATCTCTTGGAAAGAGTCCAGCAGAGGGCCACGAAGATGGTGAAGGGCCTGGAGCATCTCCCCTATGAGGAAAGGCTGAGTGAACTGGGTCTGTTCAGCCTTGAGAAAAGGAGACTGAGAGGGGACCTGATCCAGGTCTATAAATATCTAAGGTGTGGGGGGCAGAATGGCGAGGCCGGACTCTTTTCAGTGGTGAGTGGAGACAGGACAAGGGGAAACGGCTGGAAACTGCAGCATAGGAAGTTCTGCACAAACATGCGCAAGAACTTCTTTACAGTGAGGTGACGGAGCACTGGAACAGGCTGCCCAGGGAGGTGGTGGAGTCTCCTTCTCTGGAGATGTTCAAGACCTGCCTGGATGCCGACCTGTGCTACCTGGTGTAGGGAACCTGCTTTGGCAGGGGGGTTGGACTCGATGATCTCTGGAGGTCCCTTCCAACCCCTACAATTCTGTGATTCTGTGATTCTGTGAAAATCCAGTTAAATTTTGGTAAGTACTTACAAGGATGGAAATCAACAAGTAACACGTAACGCGATCTGTTCTTGCACTGAGCAGTGGGGAATCTCTTAATGAAAAAATAGGATCAGATTTATTTACGTTGCTATCAAAAAGCTGTGTAAAACATAGTTCAGCATCTTTAGTTCAAATTTGTCTGAAATAAACTGAACTAAAGATGTAAGGTTCTTTCTTCATGTCTAATTCACGTTCAGGAGGAAAAGAAGAGCATTATTACTCAAGTTCAGGGGATCTGGATCAGAACTGTGAAGACTACTGATGAAGCACTTTTGACAGGGAGGAATTTTTAGAAAAATACGGATATCAGTGACTGAGATTCTCCCTTGTTCTCATGCTCTTAGGTGGCTGTTAAGAGCTGTGACTAACCCAGCCCTTAAGCCTCATGCACTGTGTCCTACCTAACTCTTCCTTTTTGTAGTTTGGTCTCTTATACTTCCTTCTCTTTAGTGTGTTTACATATTTAAAGACTTAACTCATGTCTTTTCTCTGCTTTTTAGTGCTTTCCCCACAGAGACCTCATTTGGTCTAAAAAATGTGTCCAAAAATGATGCATAAAATAAGCTGAATAGAGAATTATTTCTCCTCTTAAATGTGTTTGCTTGTATGTGCATTTCAGTTCCAGTAGCATTTTGTTGGTAACTAAGCCTGTAATCCCCAGCAATTGCAGTGGGAAAATGTAAAGCAGCAGCACTGCCTGGCTTCAGTCTTCTGGCTGCCCAGCCATCTGCGTCTGTTTAACACAGCAGCAACTGAATGCTCAACGTTCAGGTTTCAACAAAATTTGGCTCTGCATTTCATATTCTTATGTTGATGAGTTCATATCAGCTTTGAGAGCACTTTCTGCCTGGAACTTACTACCCAGATTGCAATGTCCCAGCCATGTACTGTTGGCACCCTGGGTAAAGGCAGTAAGTGAGGCAGGTAATGCCACCTGGTGTTCATTAGCACACATGGGAGTACATGTGTGTGTATTAGTGCTTGTTTTCTGGGTCACTTTTGCCATTATATAACAATCTGTAGTCTGTAAATAGCGTAGTTCAAAGAAGGTACTGTTTGCAGGATATCCAGTGGGGGCTGTTTTGTTTTGTGGTGTTTGTTTTTAAAAGCATCACTGTCCTTTTCATCTTTGCATTTTTAGGGAAATTCCTAGAAGCAGCTATCCAGGTGAGTTAAAATGCCTACAATAATGATCTTGAAATTCTAAGGTAGGTGTAAAGGTGACAGCAATATTTTCTTTTATTGAAGTTATCTATGGCTGTGAGTCCAGATACTCAGAGGAAGAGAAGTTGGAACAAAATGGTGTCTGAGAAGTGTAACTCCTGAGGAAGTTCCTTGATATACTACTACTTCCTTCTACAAAGTAGGAGGAAATAAGATAAGCCTTTAAGAGAGTATTGTTCAGGTTATACTGTGCTTCTGAGCAAGCAGCAGAAAGGATAAATCAGATGGGAAGTGAGCAAGAAGTAATGCAGGAGTAGGATTTTATTCATTTCATATTCAGAATTATTTATTTTCTTATGTGATCTTGAATGAGATAAGAAAGTACTGGAAGAAATGCAGTCAGGATATTCAGAATGAAAAGAAGTGAAACTCACTGTTGAGGAAGAATTTCCACAGGGACAAAATTTAGGTTGCACAAATAAACAAAAGTTGGTGCTAAACTGGAGGCATCCTTTGGGTTACTTGACCTGCATCAGACATCTGAGCACTGGGAGCACAGAGGGAGCTGTGTTGGTGTGCAGGGTGCAAGCACACGTCTCTGCTGAGACTGGCATCACACCTGCAGGTGAACTGAAAAGGAAATTTAGGGTTCTGTGTCCCTCCCCTTCTGTTTTCTCCCCACCAAGTCTCCCTTGCTACACTCACAAACCTTACTCTCTTCCTGATTCTGAGGCTTTTATTTGTATTCTTTTTAATCTAAAGTAGCTTATTGAAGAGTGCTGCAAAGTCGTGTCGTAACTTGGTAGATCTCAGGGAGCCTCATTTATATTTCTGGTGATACAACAACTGTTGTGTTTGGGTTTTTTCCCCATCTGAGTTGTTATTCTAATTAATGATAAAGTTGTCAGCAGTGAAATTCTGTGTTGAGTCGGGACATTTGAATGCTCTGCCCTCTGGTGGGCACAGTTAGACCTAAAACTTCAAAGCAGTTCCTAAGATGAGAATGTGCTTCTTAAGTAACTCTGTAGGGACTTTTTCCTTAGCTGTCATTGGACGTAGCTTCGGGTTCTTCTGCATGAGAGAGCATTTGTTCACCTGGGAAAATGAGATGTGTGTAATTGTTTTAGTCAGTGTAGTGTGAATTCTTCAGATCTGCTGTGTGAAGTTGTTGGAGGAAAATGTGGACTGCTCTGAATAACATCAGTTTCTCAGTACTGTGAAGTACCTTATGCTCTTCATAAACAAGACATATTTCTGTCTCATCAATATTAAGAGATTAAAAACAGTTTCCTTTTTCTGTGGATTTGTGTTGCTTGTTACAGGATTCTGCTGGGTTGGTGGCTGCTGGCACAGTGAATACTTGGCTTAACTTAGTTCTATGTGACAGATCAGAATTGTGCATTATTAGATGTGGGAATGGGCTGGAAAGAGGAAGTGAGGGGAGTATTTATCTCTGTTCTCATGAATTAAACAGCAAGAAGGCTTTACAAACAAACAAAACAAAAACAATTGAGGGTCCCTTTAATTGCAGATGGTTTTGAACAATGAGATGTGAAAGGTTTTTGTTGCACTTCGTCCAGATAAGGTTCCAATTAAAAACTGCTGATGCCAAATGTTAGCAAAACCACTGAGGAACAGCATTTCCTGCGATTACTTCTGGTTGGTTTTGATCCAACATTTTTTAGGATTCAGTATAAAAGAATTTAGTATAAAATCAGCAACTTTATTATTTTTTTGTTAATTTCCTTACATGGCATCATAAGCAAACATAAACTGACTTTAAAAGATGGTATCAGTATCACTGAAAAGATCTGCAGCTTTTGCAGGTGCAAAAACTACTCAGGTGTCATACAGTGGCTTTGTTGGAAGGGACCTCAAGGCTCATCAGGTTCCAAACCCCTCATGCAGGGCCACCAACCTCCCCATTTAATACCAGCCCAGGCTGCCCAGGGCCCCATCCAACCTGGCCTTGAAACCACAAGGCATCCACAGCCTCTCTGGGCAGCTGTTCCAGCACCTCACCGCTCCCTTGGTAATGAGCTTCCCTGAACAGATATGTCAGCAGTTCTTGGTCAGGATGCATGCCTACTTCTAGATATCAGGAAATGGTAAACAGTAAAATCTGTGGAGACTGTATACTTTCCTGTCACTTTTTTCTTCCAAGTTTTTTCTTTCTGTCCTAGGAGAATGGTGTAAGTTGTATAATTCAGTTCTGTCTTCCCTGAAATTCATGATGGCATGCGTTAGCTTCCATAATTATCCTTAACCTGCTGCACTGCACAAATCGCTGTGTATTTGTTACCTGCAGCTGGTTAATTTGGAAAAGAGGAGAGATTACAGTGATGTGTTACTGTACTAAAAGGGACAGTCAGTGTAGGGAGACTGCTGTGCAGGTTGTAGCCTAATGTATGTGTTCTATATCACTTTCCAGCAAGAAGGATGCACGTCATTGATGAGGACCTCCTCCTAGGAACAAAGAACCAGAAAAAGAAAGCAATCAAGGAAAAAAAGTGAGTGTGAACCAGAACAGAAATGGAGAAAGACTGAAAAGGGGAAAAAAGTAGAAAACCTAAGAAAGCCAATAAGCCTGAAGATAAACATCAAAGGTACTACAAGTAAGCAAGGGTTCCAGCATCATCAGCAATTCTTTTCTGAGTGTTTCTCATGTCTTCCTCTTGTTCGTTGTTTCTAACTTAGCTATAGAATGTGATCTGCATGGGGGCTCTGTCATTAGGTTGATGAAGTGAGGATAGGAAAGATACTGGTGATCTGAGTTAGGACAGAGATTGGGTCCACAGTGTTAGAATCACATCTGCTTACTGTTCTTGATGAGGTTATGGCAATTTTATTCAGTTGCACACATTCCAGAAACAGACATTGTTACTGAAATAGTTTCTGAATGAAATATGATCATCAAAGAACACGTTCGTGTTTTCAGATACGGACGACCAGAAGTTTTAATCTAAAAATACAATTTGGGGAGGAAGCTGATTGTTCACAAGTCCTTGTGTAAACTTGGATAGTGTATGTATCCCTTTCCTCAGGAAAAATTAAGGACTGGACCGAGGACTTAAAAATATCACTGCTCTAAATCCAGTTTTTTGATGATATTCATGACAGAGTGTTGTCCTGATTGTACTTAATCTGATTGTACTCAGGAGCCGCGTGCATCTGCTCCGACACGCTGTGAGTTCTGTGGCCAGCAGATGGCGAACTCCTTTGGTTTTTCAAAGCCAGGTAGAAGTGCAGCAGGAAAGTGGAAGTCTTGCATCCCAGTGCAGCAGCCAGGGCATTCAGGTTATTGGGCTGTGCCAGTGAAAGAGCTGTCCCTTGAGAGATGTGACAGTGGTACCCTGCAGGCAGGGCAAAGGGGGCTGTGCAAAGCAATTGCATTTTGTCAAGGAAGGGTGGGTGGTATTTCCTCATTACTCCTTGTGGTCAGTGTTTAAGAGGAAAGGGGTGGGGGGAGGGGAAAGAGGGGTCTCTTAAGCAGGATTGTCTGTGATTTGAGGAAAATCCAGATTGGTGGGAGGAGCACTTCATTTCCTTCACTCCTACATGTTCTCTCTAGCAAGTTTCTAAAAGCTTCTGCTGTCGTGGCTATTACTCAGTCAGTTTGACCACAAGATCATTCACAGAACAAGGATGTTGTCCAAGCAAACCTTCAGGTTTGTTTGCCATTTGCTGTTAAAGCAGATAGTTTTGTCCTCCTGTTCTCTACTGTTAGCATAGCACTGAAATACAGGCATGTTTACTGTGAGGCTCTTGGAAGCCACCTCAGTCAGCTCAGTCTGGGATCACAGGTCAACTGTGCGCAGCTTTGTGACTGACCTAGAACTGCTGGACCAGTTACGTGTTGAATCTCAGAACAGGGATGACAGTGCTTCCCTTTTCCTTTCAGATGCAAACTACCAATCAAAACCATCACCTCACTATAAAGAGAGCCAACAAGGACAAGACTTGCTGTACTAAAAAAGCTCTCCATCAAATCCAGGCTTTAACCTCTGAAACCAACCACTCAGCGTTATCAAAATTAGCATCTTAATTATTCTTTTCTTTAATCAGTAATTCCTTTTCATGACACTGCAGGGCTTTTAGGTCTTTAAACAAATGTAATCTTAATTGAATAAAGAAATAAAAATTAATGGCCACTTTGATCTCTCAGATCACCCTCCTCCTGCAGCAGCCAGGCGTCTGTCAGCTCTCCTTAGCACTTTCCTTTTGGACAGCCTCTGGTCTGGTCGTGTGTGACACAGGAACTTCACTGGCTGTGCTCGTGAGGTGAGCATAGCAGAGCTCCTCTGGGGAGTTCCCAGTCTGACTCTGGAGTCGCCTCCCACTGAAGTGCAGCTGTTCAGAGGGAATGACTGCTCTTACTGCACATGAGCAGGGAACCTGCCTTAATTACGGTTTCATCTGAATAAGTTGTCTGGTGTGTTAAGAAGGGTGCTTACAGGAGCAGTTATCAACCATGCTGTAAACTGACTCAATCTCTACACACAAATCTGACCAATTAACGCTCAGCTCTGCTAAATGAGGAGCTCTACAACAGCATATAGTTTCACACTTTATTTTTGAGAATGTCCAGGTTTAAGCAAAAGGTCTTAATGATAAATGACAACATTAATATTGCAGTGGATTTACACAGAACATTACATTTTTAACAATGATTGATACGGAGTATTTGTCATGCAAATTACTTGTGTACACCAAGTAATGCTTATATCAATACATATCTGTACAGCATTTACATCTTATATTTATACTCTAACTAGAAACATTTTCCAAGAAAATATAGAAAAGAAACTGGTAAGCCACAAGTCTTCATTTGTAGCATTTGGTCTACAACAGACCCAGCTTTTCCAGCAAGCATATCTACATAGATATGTAATAAACTTTAAAAAATATGTATTGTTTTTATATATGAAGCATTATAAATGCTGCTTGGGTTATAAAGGTTGTTTTGTACCGGTTTAAAACTGTTCAAGATGTTAAGCAGTGTAGAGCTTACTTTGTCAGAGTATTGTAAAATTTAAGTCAGTCCAGCTGAGCTTAAGTATTATGTACAGTTCTCTCCCCAGACTGCACTGGCACCGTGGCTGAAGTTAATGGCCACAAGGTTTGGATATTCAGAGAAGCCATACGTGTGGCAGAAGCAGTAGTGGCTCTTGCTGGCTCCTGCAGTTTCAGAAGGCAATGGTAAAACCAAAGAGCTGAACAATTACACAGCTTTCAGTGCAACAGGAAGGGAGAAGGCTGTTATTCCCAGGGGACTTTTCCTCAGCACGGCCAAACGCTAGCAGGTATTGCTTTAGGCCACAGAGCAGCTCGCTGTGCTAGCTACACCTGGACTTGAGGCCCAATCGGGAAGGGAAAGGTTGAGAGATTTTTCTTTACCCTCATGGATAGTACCTGAACTTGGCCTGAACTTTCACAAGCCACTTTGTTTTACTGGCCTCGTGACCAGTGGAAATTCTGGGCCAGTTTCACTCCGTGTTAATACTGTTACAAATAAAACAACCACCATTTAAATTCAAATATCATTACAAACAAGAAAGACATTCCATTAGCTTTGGTAAATTAAATAGCTATATTGAGCACCGCAAGTAGCTGTTTTAGATGTCACATTTTAATGCTACAAAATAATATATTTCCTGCTATAATATCCTCAGATAGCTGTTACTGTGAATAATTACTTGTGCAGGATATAAGAACTTCCAGCTAAGTACAGCAAATGAACTCTCAAGGCATTTCCTTCATGCTTATCAGCAGACTTCCTCATCTGGTTAAATAAATACACTTTCTTGCAGATGATATCTCAGAAGATAAGAATCAATTTTAAAAAAGTGCTTCATGGCTTATAAGTGTTTTGGTAATCTCCTATTTCTCCGGGCATAGACTTTGCTGTGTTTTACCTTTGCACTCACTGGCTCCTGTGACAAATCTCATCCAGAGCTGCAGCTGGGGAGTGCATGGCTTCAAAGGAGAAGGCGAAGTTGCGCAGCAGAAGACTCAAATCTTCTAGCAGCTGCTTTGCAGACACAGCATCTACAACTTCATTTGTTTCCATAGAGTTCAAATGGCTTTCATTAAACAAAGATAGCCCACAGTGATACTTACTAATAATAAGTATTGGGATTCTACCTCCTTTGGCTGAGTTTTGCTTCTCACTCAGATCTGAGCATTCATCCAAGCAGCCTGCAGTTCCACACGCTCTGGGGAAGGGTGACCCCAGTCTGTTTCAGCCTTGTTCTGAAGCGTGCAAGAAAGCGAAACAGTCACAGGCTGAAACCCTGCGCAAAGCAATGCAAATCTGTAAGACAGCAACCACAAATCAAACAGCACTTTAAGGGTAAAATGAGATTTGAAAAAGGTAACTTAGTGTCTTCTTAGTGTCGGCAGAATTCCCTGTTGTGTATCCAAGAAGCAAAACTGCTTTGGCATCACACTGGCTCACCATTGGCACAGCAGACATGGCTCAGGGTCGACAAGACAGGAAAAATAGAAGTACTGCTGGAAGTAGTAGGATCCAAAGAAACTTCCTGCCTTCACTGTGCGATGAGGGGCTGCACCTCAAGAATGTTATGTGCACTGCCACCAGGAAGTGTGACAGAACGCGCCTCAGCACGAGACCCTGACCAGCTTCCATAAGTTATAAGAAACTGCAGGGGCCGACTGCAGTCAGGTTGCGTTCTTGAGGTGAAAAGAGGGATATCTACTCGTGTTTTCAACTTCAGCCACTGAAGTACAAGTCTGAAACAAATATCTTTTAAGAATGTAATGAAAATATTTAAATTCTTTGTATGTTCAAAGTTTGTTATCAAGCAAAGGAATGAATCAGTGCTGCTTGCTCACCTACTAGGGCTGTATCTTACAGGAAGAATACGCTAGCCTGGTTTTTCTCCCTTTAAAAACATTAAGTGCATGTGAAATTATTATTTCAGGCTGTTTTCACATGCAAAGCCTGAACCCTTGCAACTCATGCAAGCTCTGTCACCTTATTCCTTTAATACTGTTAGTTAAACTACAATATATCTAAAACATAGGAAGGATATTACTACAGAAAAAGCAGATTAAACCAGTCATTAACTCTCACTGCTTATCGTGTGAGCAGACTGGAAAGAGTTTTTGCCTTCTCGCAAATACCAAACCACATCTATGCAGTGTCGTGGCTGCAGACAGGCCTTTGCTGGTGGGACCTGCCTGTGTTTCAGTGCATTCACTCCGTCCCTTTGGCACAACTGGTTAATGATGTAGCTGCCTGTCTGACACTGAGCTGCACTTCCAAAGAAGAAAAACTACTTCTAGAAGGTGGATCATGTGCTCTAAATGACTTTACTGCAAGACATAAGACTTGAAAACTTACTGAGATTGTGGGTTTCCTACCTACAGAAAAGTGCCAGGCTGCCCTCTACTCCAGTTTTTAGTGTTGCATTTTACTGAGAGAGAAGTTCTTCAAACGCTTTTCCCATTTATGGGCGCTGAGCTCAAGAAGCAGGTAATGGATATTTTACCATTCTTTCCCTCCCAGTCCACACCAACTGTAGTTACAACTAACACAAGTGGAAACAAAGCTTCCACGTCATCACTTAAATTAAGTTCCAAGAAAATTATCCTCTGGGATTTGAAGCTTACTTCAAATTATATGCCAATAACTACTCTGAAAGGTCTTGCCAAGATTTTATGTCATAGTAAAGTGTGTGTGTATATATGTATATATACATACACACATTATATATATATAATTTTTTTTATATATATATATATATATAAATGTACAGTTACTGTCTTCCTTTCGTTTGCCCAAGGTTTACATTACACTCCATTATAGCCCATGTAGAAGTGGACGCAGGTATCCATGCTACCCATCAAGTCCTATTTCTTGTTTGCAATTCTTCGTTTCCTTGTCGCCAGCATGTCGTAAAAGGGGTCCCTGCTGATACTTGCTCTAGAAGAAACAACACGAATTGTCAGTTTGGTTAACAGTTCTCTGCTTTGGAAACTGAAATTTGTTCTCTCCTCCTTTTGGATGGCTCCCCACTTCTAATAAGATAACGGATTGCTGACCTACAATCACAGCACAGCTCACGCTGGAAGGGACCCACAAGGACCACTGAGTCCAACTCTCAGCTCCACCCAGGACGATCCAAAATCCAAACCCCATGTCCAAACACTTTGTGAGCTCTGGCACACGGGGCTGTGAACACCACCTTTGTTGGCCTGGTCCATGCCCACCGCCTTCTGGTGGGCACCTTCCCTGCCCCCATCCACCCCTCCCGACAGCTCCGTGCCATTCACTGCGCCCTGTCACTGTGCCAGGGAGCAGAGCTCAGCGCTGCCCTCCGCTCCCAGGGAGGAGCTGCAGTTCCTCTGACCATCAGAAGTATTTGTTTATAAACAGACGGTGTTTAGCTATAATTTGTTACAGAGTTCATACTTCCATCTTGAACATAACTTGAACATAACTTGTTCCTTTAAGTTTGGGTCTGCTACATAAACCTCAAGTTGAATTCAAATTATAAAAGTTCTGAGCCGCACTGCGAACAAGCTCAAGATAGCTGTCACCAAACAGAAGAAGAACAGCATAAAATCAGGGTTAAGGATGGTTCTCAAAAGGCTTTACATTTGCTGAAAAGATTCAATTTTTTTTTTAAAAAAAGAAAAAAACATTTTCTTCATTTGAGTTAGAACCTGCTGTGGTACTTAGGACCAGACAGCCCGACTCATCCACCCCAAAGATCCTGACCTTAATCCCAGAGGATATTGCCGAATCAGAACTCTTTAAACAAGTTAAAATGCAAGGTCTCTTCATATCTTATTCAGAAAAGGAGCTTACGCTTCATTTCTGAAAGATATTTAAAACTCTGAACTCACTTGATGGACTTAATCCACTCTTCTTTTTCTTCTGGAGTGGGAGCAGATATTCTGTACACTACGTGGTTGCCTTCCACCACTCTGCCATCAGCTTCAGTTTTACAGGCTTTAATCACTTGGCCTTTATGACTGGGATTATAGAGCTCAAAGCAGTTCTGAAGGGTAGGAATGGAAAAATATGTTAAAAACAAAGCAAAACAAACAACCCAGAAACAAATTCATTTACTGCAATCTCAGTTCCAAATGGTTTACTTATTCATTGAAAAAATGATAATGAGGGTATCTTACTGGTTTTCTAGGGTCTTCAACTTCTCTTATGCTAAGATTTTCTAATGGAATAATCCCTCTAGGTTCTTTGTCCTAAAAAAAAAAGGAAAATACTGCATGATTTTTCCTTGCCATACCCAGAGAATAAAGGAAGCTCGCAGCAGTATATACTCACAGTGGTGTATTCAAAGTAATACAGGCAGTTATCAGTCAAAATGAACCACCTTCGTTTCCACGTTTTTACTCTTCCCCCTATAACCAAAAGGCATTGATAAGTTAAACACGTCACTGTCAGGGCTTCAGCAAGGGATAAGAAGAAAGCAATTGAGTTTTGTTTGTTTTTCCAATATATATTTTAATCGCTTAATTGCAGATGGATCAGGCACAGATGAGCTGAGGTTAGGAACATTTCTGTAACCTGTACAAAGCTCCAACTCCTGAGTCAGCATTAACTATGGTGCACAAAAGCATTATGGCAGGAGTCTGTACACTCTCTCAGGTTTCACCCAAACCCAAGGGCTCAGCAGAGCCCTGATACTACTGCTGTACAGCCCTCAGAAATGCCAGTGCTGCTATGGGAAAGCAGCAAAGCAGGAACTGGGCTCCAACCACAGGGCCAGCCCTGCCCACTGCCTGTCTTTTCACAAGGATGGGGTCTCCTCAGTAAAATTCAGGACATTTTATCACCTTCCTTCCACTTGTGACTTCACACGTGATTATGAACCTCTCTCTAGTTCTGCATTTAGCATCCAGTGTGTTAAGTGCTTATAAACACTGCTGCTTGCAAGCAGAACAAATCTGATGAGTCAACAACAAGGAGCAAATGCAGAAATCCTACACCGAAGTGCTTGTACTCACTTTCAATAATTTATTGTTCTAATGGGAGACGTGCCCCTGAGTACATCTGACAGAAGGCACAGCTCCTGCTCCAGAAATGCCATCATTTCCCCACAGCAGCAGCAGCTGCTGCACTGCTCGCTCTCACGCCTGCTGATGTCCCGCTGCGTGGATCGGCTCCTTCAGGAACACACATTACTGTCAGTCCTTTCATCCCCTGTTCTGCAGTTTGCTGCCTAAGAACCACTCCGTTATCCCGTAAGTGAAACTTTCAAGAATCATTTCCAGGGAAGAGGAAGTAAATAAAGAACTCCCATGTGACAAACATACAGGCCGAGTTCCACCATAGCTAAACGACTTCAGGATTGTGGCTCCACCTGTGCATCATCCATTCAGCAATCAGTCACTCTCATTATTCCTGCTGTCTCCAAATAATTGGTTTTCCTACTGAACACCCTTGCATAAAATAGTTCTGTGAATACACACAAGGTTCCCCATTTATTTAAAGTCATAAACAAATTTAAGAAACAATTTTTTAGCCAACTGCTCTTCTTCAGATAGTGGGAATTTTGTTGATAGTCTGGATTTCTGTACTGAAGTTAAAAAGCAGTTCTGGGGATCTCGTTTTGTTTTAGATCCATAGACAAGCATTTGCAGTGCAGACCAAGTCCTGTTGCATGCTCCACCTTCCGTTCAGTCAGTTTTATGACCTCAGGATAACGCAGTGCAAACACTGCAGCATTCAGAGGACTCAGATTTTATGCTTCCACTACACACACACACATCTCAAGAAAAAATTAATCCGCAAGCAGGTGTGGTGAAATAAGAGAAGGCAAAATAGTGCAAGATGCAAAAGCTGTGACAGAATGGATGGTTGAGTGAACTGGAGACAGTGAGGGAAGAACTGGTGGCATTTTAGTACAACCACTGTGACAGGCACTTAAATAAGGCACTGCAGAAACATTCAAACTGGCACATAAGTCACTACAGAAATTCCCACTGCTGGACTGAGAGCTGGTTCAAGTAGCACCAGGTATTCGGTCTGGGAACAGAAAGCCAACAAACCACACCCTGATTCACTTCTGGATCAATGAAGAAGCAGCAGCCAAGTCAAGCTGATTGCCAGGGCAGTCCGTCCTTTCACTCTACCACCACGTTTTTCATGCAGTCCAAGGGTCACTGCACTGTTAACTGCTGCTCCCATCCCTCAGCCAGCCAGGTTCAGCTGAGTGCCATAACAAGAGCACAGGTGCCTGTTCCACCAAGCAATGTGTTACTCTTCCATAAAAAAGGCATCGAAGCAGGACTTTTTTCTTCCAAAATGATCAACCATTCTCAAATATAAGCCTGTATCTCCATCCCAATACTCAGCTGCAGCTGTCCAGCAGAGCAGAAACTCTTTAATAAACTTGAAAGGCAATCTGATCTGCACTCATCATGGTTGCAGGCATCCCTGTACAGCGTGCATTTAATCTGCCCTTAACCGTGGGCTAAAAGCAGGAAGCTGGTTGATAAGGCTGTACTGACCACAAACACAGCGCACAAGATTAATGTGTAGGAACTACTGATAACAAAATGTTATTTTTCTTGGCCAAGATTGCTGCAGGCTCACAAAACAACATCACAGTGCTTAGTGCTGTGCTCCCTGCCTTATTCCAGCCTTTTAAAGATTAAAGCTAAGAAGGCCTCATTTATCAGAAGAGGACCAAGGCAATCAGCATATGAATCCATAAAGCTTTACAGAAATGGACAGATGCAGAGGTTGTACTTCTCAAAGATCCAGTTGATAAATTAAAATGCAAAGACATCTTAAATAACAAAATAAAGCAGTGTATCATCTTGTTGGCAGAATTCTAAGGGAACTACAGGTAAAGGCCATAACAAGGCCAAATGCAGACAAAGAGGGATACAGATCTTCTTTGCCTACATAACCCAACACAGGAATAATTTTTTTCCAGCTCTGGGTGACATGAACAGCACAGCAAGGTACCAGAAATAAAACCCGCACTCAGGAAGGCCCTCAGCTTCCTGACTGCTGCTCCCCCGCCGGATTTGAGAAAAGCAGAGCCATCCTCCCAAGGACAGAAGCACTGCAACAAACACCACAGGCACAGCAGGCAGTGAGGCACCTGGATGAGCAACCACCTCTTGGTGGCTGCCTGATGGGCAGCCAAAGTTCACATCTCGTGTCAGGCTGGAGTCACTTCCTGTCCTGTTCAGAAGAGCAACATCACAGCTTTCCTTTCCCCAGAGGAAATCACACACACCAAGCTGCTTGCCAGCTGAAGCCATTTCAGACACAGAAATGCCCTCCCTGTTGCTGGGCAGTACCAAAAAGAATCTGTCCCCATCCATGTGACACCCATCCTCTAGTTGGTAAGATCCCCTGTTGGTCTTCTCCAAGCTCAACAGCCCCAGGTGTCTCAGCCTTTCCTCCTAAAAGAGATGCTCCAGGACTCTCATCATCTTTGTGGCCCTCCACAGGACTCTCTCCAGTAGTTCACAACATAGGCTTATTAAAACCACCGACAGAAAAGCAACTGGCTGAGTCTAGCTAGCTAAAACCAGAGGTGCTGCCCAGCACCCAGTTTGGTGCTTGAATTTGCACTGAGCCACAGCTGAACTGAATTCAGAGCAGGAAGCTTCACAAAAGCAATCATTTTTGAAACGTGGCTTTCTAAAGCACAATGCCAGGCTCCAGAGCTAGGAAAGTCTTTAGGAGAAGCAAACTGTATGACGTATCAAAGATTGACAACATCTATCTCCTGCCCAAAGAATAATCAACATGGTGAGCTGGCACAAGGAGCCAAATGGGAAGAGACGCTGTAAGAAGTACAAAATAAGGACTTGAGAGACTCTGGATTTAAGGGCTCATCTTCATTGTTTTATATATTAAAAAAACTCTTCAGCAAATATTAATACAGTGGAGCACTTAAACTCATAGCCTGGAATACAATCTCCATCAATTTCAGAATGTTTCCCAACAGAAAGGACTGCAGATGGTCTGTAGCAATGCAGACAGTGTGGATGAAGGCAGCATCCCCTCACTGTTTAAACCTCCTAGCAAGCAGGAAACTCAAGGGAGAGGAAAACAAAGAAAGAAGGAAAAAAAGCACTGTTTATTTCTGGTCAATGCACACAACCCAGCAAAGTGCATTTGTGTGCACCCTATTCAGATAACCTGCTGCTGCGAGGCCAGGCTGCAGCTTGTAGTCCCATCCACAGGTTTGCTGCTGGGTTTCCATGTGCTGCCTCTCATCACACCACGCTCAAAGCCAGAGCCAGAGATCACTTCTCCAGAAGCACCTGGCAGCGCTCAGCCACTCTTTTTTGTTCCATTTCTTTGTTCCTTCTTATTTATTTATGTAGATCTCTCATATGTGTTCTGTTGACAACTTCTTCCATGGTGTATGGCTGGTACTCCTCTACACACACAGCACTCCTATTTATACTGTGTGTGTATAAACTTACGAGTGAACAGATATAAATGTGCAGTTTTCACTATATTCAGACAGTTTATTCCCAACCTCCAGAACAAGCATTTTTTTCTACTTTGTCTTAAAAGCTTTTTAGCTGAGATAGCTATTGCCTCAAACTATAACATGGAGAAAACCTGCAAAGTCATCTTTGAAACTGTAGCAGCTCAGCCACTGCATGCCAAAATGAGCAAGGAATCAGCTCTGCTCTTTTTTGCAGTTAGACAAAGAGTCTCTCTATAGTGGAGAGGTCAAAACCAGACACTGCAGAGCACCTGAACAATTTACAAATAGCTCCTCATGTGTACTTCCAGCAGTAGCACAACCGCTGGTTTCCAAACACCAGCAGAGAGAGCCCACAGCTCTCCCTTGCTCAACTTTCACCACAGTGCACAGCCCACCTCTCGCCCCAAGCGTGGATCCCTCTTCACACTTCAGTCACCATTCTCCAAGCGTGAAGTGCCCTCTTCTTTAGTAAGTTCAAGTGGCCTAACACTGGCCCCAATGCAGTGTGTCACTACTGGCTTTGTAGAAAAGAGATTTATTGCATCGGGAAAAAAAGCAAATGAAAAAGACAAATTTTACTGCCTTATAGAGGAGAAGAGTCCCTGAGCACAAGTAAAGCTGATGGGATTCATTTGTTTAACTGAGGCCGTAACACAGTGCAGTGCCAGGGGACTGCAAATCACCAAAGGTTCCAGCCCCCCTAAACTTCACACTATGTTAAGATGTATTTGGTTGCTCAGTAGGATGTTTACAAAAGAAAATACGCAGGAAGAGGAGCAGCTCTGATGTATGTGAAGTTCCAATGCAATCAGGTTTTTCCAAAATTCTAATGTACAGATGTACAAGTGACAAAATCACTCTGGATCTTCATTGTAAGAGTACAAAATGTTTTTCTCTTGGTCAAAATTGTTCTTCTAGTTACATTCTTCAGTGAATGCAGAAAAAGTCGTCTCTATTTTTCTGCTTTCTGCTTAAACACCTTCTTTTGCAGAAGACACTTGCACATGAGCTAGACACTCATGCCAGCCTTTGTGGACAGAATACCTCTGATGATACTGTTAGTGACACCGAGTGAAAAAGCAAAATGCTACAATAAATTTAAGAAAAAATAACTAAGAAAACTAAAAGAAAACGACAACAAAAGAAAAAAAAACAGAGGAGGGAGGAGGAAGAAAATAAAAGAATGAGCAACTGAACAAGAGGGCACTGGAAAGCAATCAGATACGTACCTCCTAATGCAGAATAAGCAGAGACAGCCAGTCACAGAACAGAAAGGTGATAGGTCATAGGCCATAAGGAAAACAAGAAGGCACATTTAAACCACTCATTAAAAAATCATAGCCAAAACCAAACCAAGAGAAACTCACAAATAATATGGAAAAATAAAGACACACAAAAATAACTCTTTGACAAGAAATCCTGTTTTTGCACACAGAAAACTGAGCTGAAATTTCACATGAGTTCTGTGCAGTGACTACACGGAGGTTTGGCTGTTATCTATCCATCACGGCACCACACCGAGTTTCCTTTCTGTTGCTGAGTTTTCAGTTCTCAGATACCAGAAACAAAACTCCAAAGTCTGAAACAAGATTGCTGGTTTGTATACGTGAAATAAGGAGTAACAACCTTCAGTTGTAAAGGAGTTACTTATTGTGGCTTACACATTTTTAAATGTAAATTGCAGCGTGAACCGTATTACATTGATAAGGAAGCAGCTGGACACAGAAGCAGCAGACACACAAACAACGAACAGACACAGCAGCCAGGCTGCTCTCAGAACTAACCTAATTTCAGCAGCCAACCTTCTCTATCTGGATTAAAAAATGTATGCGTTAGATCATTTCCATCATCCTCTGGAATTTTAAATGGCTCATTCTTAATACTTTCATATAAATTCTAGAAGAATAAAAAGAGGAAAAAGACCTCGTTAGTAATGTCCATCAGAAAGTACAACAATGTCCTACTGCTTCTCAGTTTCTTTGTACAAAAAGCAAAGGAAATACTGCCAAAAATTTCTGGACCATCCATTCCCAATTGTTGTTCACTTCTCTGATTAAGTTTGCTTTTAAATTACTTTCTCTATAAACTCTCTCTCTAGATTTTATAAGTACTTCCCAACAAACACATTTTTATTTCAGAACTCAGTATTTCAGAAGTTTCAGCTTCTCAAATCGTAATTTAGCATAACTGTTGCCAAACAAATCTGGGTTTTTAGAAAATACTTCAGATCATCACATTGTGTTAGAGAAGTAAACAGCTTTACTGTTAGCTCAGGGGAGAGGAGGAAACTCCACACCACACGTGGGAAGAATAGAAAAGCAGTAACAAAACAGTCATTTTTTCATTATTATTTAACTATTTTTCCTACTTTCTCTGACTTATCTAGAAATAGAATTCTTTCCATAAGAAGCCAATTCCATAAGAACACTGTCACAAGGATACTACTGAGAGACATACAGAGGACTTCCAGTGGAATCTCTTCTCAACATAAGATCAAGATTAGAGACAACTAACTGAAAGAGACCATGGATATCAATGGATGGTTCCTTCAGTCTCTCAAATGGTTCTGCATGGCAGAAAATGGTTTTTTTTTTACTTCCCTTGAGAAATCAGTCTGAAAACTGTTGCATATGTATTAAGTTTCCTATTAAAAAACAAAAAGCAGCCCCTTACCTTCACCATTTTCACTTACCCGTAATAATTCTTCTGGAAGGTCTCCACCTTCATTAATTCCACGGTTCATAGAAATAAACCTCTCTACTGTTGGCTTATCTCTGACATTGTGGTTGTGCAGGCTGGTATTTAACATGATGATTGCAAACGACAGCACATAGCACGTATCTGAAACCAGATTGGAAAAATGAGTTACTTTTCTATGTCTACAGTAGATGCTGTACAGGCTTGGTCCATCAGACATCAATTCAAAGTGCCTCCAAAGTTTTACCACAGACACCCAGAGGAAGAACAGTCTCTTCAAAATAATACTCAAACTGCATGTAAATAAAACTGAAAATAACATTTGACTCAATTTCTTGGCATACAAAGGTGCCAATATCAAAGGATAACAAAAGAGATCTTATCATGCCTCTTGATGTGGTTGTGACTGTAGAAAGCTCTCCCAGAATTCGAACAAGATCATACATAAGAAAACAGAGGATGGAAATCTCTCTGCTACATTAAGAAAAGACGTGTTTGCATCTTCTGTATTTTGTTTTCAGTAAGGATTTCCCTCTGTAGCTGTTGCTGATCTTCTTCACATTAACCTTTTCCTTGCCTACTTTCTTACCCTCGAATCAGGTGATCAGAAGGAAGCTCCACACACACATAACTGAACAGACCAGCAGTGCTAAGACACTATGCCATTCTGTGCAGGATGGGAGAGCTCTGTTGGCTTTTTATGGCCTAAGTACTTCTAAAGGATGTAATTCAATAGAAAACTGAGCTGCATTTCTAACGGAGGTAAGTCTTTGATAAGCAGATTGCTATAAAGAAAAGATACAGTTCTCCTAAGGGAAAAGCTGGTGACTTTATATGTAATATATAGCTACACAATCTAAATCTCCCCTCTTTCAGTCTGAAACCATTTTCCCTCATGCTGTCACAACAGACCCTGCTGAAGAGTTTGTCCCCTTCTTTCCCGCAGCTCCCCTTTAGATACTGAAAGGCCACTCTCAGATCTCCCCAGAGCCTTCTTTTCTGCGTGCTGAACAGCCCCAGCTCTCTCAGCCTGTCCTTGTAGGGAGGTGTTCCATCCCCTGGAACATCTCTGTGGCACTCCCTGGATGTGCTCCAATAGACCCATGTCTCTCCTGCAGTGAAGACTCCAGATCTGGACACAGTACTCCAGGTGGAGTCTCACCAGTGCAGAGCAGAAGAGCAGATCACCTTCTCTGACCTGCTGGCCAAGATTCTTTGGATGCAGCCCAGGATATGATTGGCTTTCTGGGCTGCAAGGCACTTTGCTGGCTCATGCCCAGCTTACCATCCCCCAGAACTCACAAGCCCTTTTCCTCAGGAGCTCATCCTTTCATCCCACTGCTTGCACTGATAATGGGGATGGCTACAACCCAGGTGTAAGACGCTGCACTTGGCTTTGCTGATCCTCATGAGATTCTCCTGGACCCAGTAGGGAGATAGTGAGATATCTAACACTAGAATCCTAGTTCTCAAACACCCAGTGCAATGCTGTAATACTACAATGTGATGGAAAGTATAGCAAAGTGGCACAATCTTAGGAAGCAGCAAATGAGAACAAGCCCAAATGCAGCAGCTGTGAACACAGAAACAAAGGAAGAAAAACTGCTTACCTTTGGAAGGCTTCTGGTAGGCAGGGATCTCCAGCAAGATACCCTCATCTCCACTGCTAACCCTTACACGAGGCCTGGGAAGGGGTGGATCCTGGCTCCAGCCCTTCTGCTCCCTCAGGTATGTTGTAGGTACCTGAGCTCCCCTGGGTGGCCCTGCCTTCCACCAGATGTCAATCACTGGTTCAGGCTGTGATTCAGCATTTCAGCTACACACAGCCAAAACAGCCTGGTGACATTTCTAAAGTGTGTCTTATGCTCAAATTGGTTTACACATTAATGGCAGAGTTTAGTAAGTGGAAATGAATACTGACCATCAGCTTGTACTTTCCAGATGTGAAATATAAAATCAGACAGCAGCATTTTCACAGTTCTCAGGAAATGATTATTCTACGTATTATTTTATTTTCAACTTTCAAATTAGCCACTTGCTAACTTTCCTTGCACCTGATACAGAAGCACATTAACATTCTAACATCATTTATAACTAACCTGTAGACTGAAAAACTCCTGGGTTACAAAGGCAATAGCGTGAAGCAAAAGCTTCCATCATACGATCAATTTTCTGAGCCTCTCCTGGGAGTCTGAAGCTCCACAGAAACTGCCTACAGAAAAAAAGAATCATTGTTAAGCTCATTCCAATATTTACATATTAAGCATCTATTGCTAATAATCAGAAACAAAACCCAGCAATGTGGATATAAAATGTCCTAGAAATACGGTCTCCATTTCTCAACAAACAAGTCAGGAGCTATCATAAAGCAACATGCACAGATGGCTAACCCAGAAATTCAGCCAGCAACACTGCATGCTATCAGGCAAGGTAATATGGCAGTTCATATTCTGAGACTCTCTTTTTTCAGGACTAGTAAACAATTTTCTGTATGCATCCCATTTTTCCATGAGAATACTACAGAGGAAAAAAAACAGTTCAATCCTCCCTGGGATTTCTGTCTACTAAGAGCAATAAGCACTCAGCTAGACTTTACTTACAATGTAGAAAGAAACAGGAGATAAAATATTTCTGCTCAGGGAGAGAGGGAAGGAGTACAGCAACACTTATCTTTAAATGAATTAATTAAACATTAAAAAATGAAAACAACTACAAGAGAAACACCAGTGCATGGAGAGAAGTGCTGCCTGTCAAGTGTAAGTTGCCCTACAAAGATCAGACCCAGAGCTTAAGAAAGACTGACAATATCATCTCAGTAATTTTGTAACATATGCAGGAGATCAGCATGAACTGAAGTAGAATTTTTACTTTCCTAGCTTACTGTTTCTATATATGGGTACACTGGAATGCATACAGGACAGAAGTCTTCACAAATTCACTTTCAGCAAATGGTGAAACTGAAAAGTTCCAATTAACTGAGTCACTTGTTCTTTTCTTTTTTAGCAAAACAATCATCTAAACTAAAACAGGACCTAGAGCAGCAAAGTTACATGCTCTGCCATGCAAAAAACAATTCCATATTCCCTGTACAGTGGGTGCCAATATAATACCCACTGGCTCCTGTTCTCGTAAGTTTCCGTTTTAGGACTTCATATCAAAGAGTCACAGGCCATCCTTAACTTGGTTATACTGTCTTTTACTCACCTTGTACAAGGTTCCAACCCAGATCACGAATTTTGTAAGCTACCAAAATACAAACATTTAATAGTAGCAGCTGCTAAGGTAGAATAAAATCGAGCCTAAAGTTAAACTGAGTAAAAGAGATAGGGATATGAAGCCTTCCAGAAAATCTGCATCAGCCAGAGCCTTAGCTTACGCCTCAGGCAGCTCAGGCTAACATCACCACATCACTCAACCGTAGCAAAGCTGTTCTGACTCCACATCACAAGGTGCTGCACCAGAAACAAAGATCACATGAACATTTCTATTTATCTATTGTCAGGGGAGTCACTTGAAGCAATGAGACTGGCAGAAGTGTATTTCACCTTAATTTCCTGGATTAATTGTGGATTTCCATAAGCAACACTGCATGCTTCACAAGGTAACTCCATGCTACCATCTCAGAGAAAACAAGTTTACACACCAAAGGAAAAAAAAATATTACACTTTTTTTTTTTCTTCACATGACAGGTAAATATGAATAAAGTAGGAAGACACTGCTTGTACCAAAGTCTACCTCTGTGCAACTGCACATAAACAGTAATTCTGGCCTGCAGTGCTCTTGCACCCATAGGAACAAGTGGAAGAAACGGATGAAGAAGGGGACAGCAAAGAAAATGATCTGTTTGGCTGGGGCTTTGTTTCAACCCATCTCTGTGCTGAGATATAAAACTGTCTTCAAATGTTCACATTTGGCAGGCACACCAAAAAGGCACAGCTACAAACAATTGGAGGTGCTAAAACAGAACCGCCTCTGCTAAGCTGCCTAGTGAGGTACAGAGTCATGCTGTGTTACATCAGCTTTCTGACAAGTACAACACAGTGACTCCTATGAATGTGCAATTGAATGCAGGAAGAAAAACAGAAAGACTTTACTCACCGTAAGGCTTGTACAAGATTGAGATCAGCAAACTCATGGAGTTCAACAAAAGCCTGAAGAACTTTAATATTAAATTCATCTCTGTGAAAGAGAAAAATGGAAATAAACAATTACAGTGCTGAACTTCAAAGCCTTCTTAGTTACCTCTTTTTCTTATAGAATAAGCAAACAAACAGATTATACTGATCAAACCAAACGAATTGTTATCACATTCAATTTTAATTGCTTGTGTTTTGCCCATTTCTGCTAGCATTTAAAAGCTAAGCTATCAAGAGCCACTACACCTGAACAGGTTTTATCACTGCTTTTTCAAATGCCCTGAAAGTGGCCTGTCTTTCTTTGCTTCATATTTGTTATTCTTGCACCTACCCTCACAGGGGAAAATATTTGATAAATCTATTCAGTACAATAATCTTTTGCAGCAATTGTGTCATGAACACTTGAAACAACAGTTAAGGTAGGATTCATTTCTTTAGCCATACAAAGTAGAACAAATAAGCCATACTCCAACTGCTTATAAGAAGAGCTTTTTCAAAGAAGTACTTAATATGTACCAAATTCTTATTCTATTCTCCAAAATTGTTACAGTGGAAGCTTACTAAAAGCTTTTGACTTGGCTTGCTCTCAGCTATCCTTGACATCATTATGCAAAGCATGAGCCCAACTATGCTTTAATACAAGGTTATTTGAATGCAAAAGTTATTTTTAAAGGCTGATAAACACAAAATGATTTGAATGCAGATAGAATTTAGTCTACACCACCACTACGTTCATATGCCTGAAGCAGAAAGGTTTGTAATCCTCAGGGTGTGCTTTAAATACATAATCAAGGCAGAATGTTGCGTATCAACCTCCACCCAAAAATAGAAAGGTGTGCATTCACCAAGAATTATCTGTTGTGTTACTGACTAAATGCTTGTAGCTAATCTGTAACTCACAAGCAAACACTTGAAAGCAAACCATTTATTTAGATGTTTCCAGACTGTTCAGAGAACCACAGAGCATCTCCATCAAGCAAAAAGAAGCAATTCTCATCAAATTCAGTATTATCAGTTGAGCTCCATGCTACATTGCAGAGCAGTGAATTCGTATGAAGTGCAACTGCACAGAGCACTCAATAGGGCTGCTGTGTTATCTTAAGCCAAAGATGCACCTTGCCTACATGTACACAAAGCTGCAGTAATTCAGCACAAATACTCTAATTTTTGCTTTTTTTGGTTCTAATGTACATTGGATGAGTCATGCTTTGTCATGTGAGAAGCTTTTCGTGCAGCTCCAACTCTGCAAACTAATACAGAAAAAGATCCTTTTCACAGTTCTCCTCAAATTTTAGCACCAACTTAAAGATTCATTAAAAAAGAATATTTTTTTTTTGCTATTCAGTACAAATCACTACAATTTCTCATATTTAAATAATGAAAAATCCAGAAGATGATCCTGAAATAATAATACATCTTTGAATTTGATATGCGAGCAGCAACGTGAGCATTCTGCAGTACGCCAGTGGGACTGGTCGCACTGGTGAGATCCTCCTGCACAAGCACAGATTGCTTGGGAGCACAGGCTTGGGAGCAGAATACTGGAAGTATTTCAGGAGGTAGTGCATAACTCTAAAAAAATGCATACAGATTGTCTTATGCAAGCTTTGTTACAATTTAGTAGATATTAACATACAAGTAATTGCACAATACTACCCAAATATTCAACACCCTAATGCTTTCATATTGAAATTGCTCAATGTCTACACACATGGTCCAGAAACTGCACAGAAAACCTTTTCAAAAATATATGTACAATAGTGAAAACTTTCATTAAGCTTGTTGCTGTCAGGAGGAAATAGTGCACAAACTAAGCTGCTGATGCTGTAAAGAGATTACAGATGTCTCACAGGGGATCTGCCAGAACACATCACTACAGCAGCAGATCCTAAATGAGTCAGCTTTTAAACCTCCCTAACTGGCATCAGAACCAGCACATGTTCAAGCACGCAGATGGCACGTACTCCAACCTACCTGCTACTTCTATCTCTTGCTGCTCCCTTTCCCAAAATCCATTCCTGGGCTGCACCTCAATGGAAGCAATTTGCATTTTATTGCATTTTGCACATTTATTGTGCTAGAACTGATGCAGCTGCTCTGAGAGATGCCTCCTTATTAAGAGGAAGGCCGGTACAGGGATGACACTAAAACCTGCTTACAACTACTGTCCCAGGAATGATCCATTCTAGTACGTAATTTTCTTCCTATCAATTATTATCAGTTGTAAGCCACACCTTGTCTAGGGACGGTGTCAGGAATTACTAAAACTGTTCACCATTCCAAAAGCTTATGGTATTAAATTCTGCTTTAATGCCAAATTTAAGGATATTTTCTCAAAATGGTAAGTTACAATGAATTAAATATTATTCAACAATGGATCCATTTAAAAACAACAACTAATCAACATCTCATAGGTTAGCATTACTTCCCTCTGTAGCTTTTCTGCATCCGTGAGGAGAAGCTTTTTGTGCAGCCTCTGAAGGGGCAGGTAACTCCTCCAATTGCTACGTGTGCTTTGTGAGCAAGATGAAGTTTCAGTATTATTATTTACCTTTCACCGAGGTAATCGCCGATTACCGTTTTATTTAATCCTTCTCCTTTGTAAAGGAACTGTGCAATGTCTTCTGCAGTGTTCTGCAAGAGGTCGTTTTCTATCAGAAACTGTATTCCCTAGGAAAAGCAATTTTAGAGGAGAAGGAATATTAGGTTTTTTTCCACAGCATTTATGTAAATACTGCTCCTAACATTTGGCATCTGTACAGTGTCACAGACATGCACGCAGCATGTAAGAGTTAAATTAGTCTACAGTTGTTTTTATTTCTCTATTTTACATGAAATAGTAAACAAACGATTGTTTTTTCCCCAGTCAGATAAGCAGCATTTTGTACTGGTTGGCAGATATAAAAGGGAACACATTTTTAAGGCAAGAAGTACCAGGTGGCAGTTTGAATTCCTTAACTACAGAAACATCAAGTATTGCCTTAACAGGTTAATGTAAGTTGGCCTGCTCAGCACACTGCATAAATGTCTGAAGATAATCTGTAAAATCATATAACAAAGAGGTATGCAGGAATGACTTAATCACCACCATGACAAAAAATAAAGCATTTGCAAACTGCACCCCGGAACATCAAGCCACTACTTGCAGGAGAAGTTATGGCTGAAGATACTGAAACCAGTTGAAAGACTTTATGCTGACTCTGGGGATTGGCTGACTGCAAACATGCCTGAATTAAAGCACTCACAAAGGGCTGCCCGTGAAACCTCTCGGGCCTCTACTACAGAGCTTCTACAAAGCCAGGAGGAGCCTTACCCCAACCTCAGTGCACACCTGATCAAGGCCCTGATTCCTACACTTCTCTGAATCACTGGCTACAGAACTTGCCCGCTCTGAGATCCCCAGAAAGCTTTTTGCAAAGCAGGAAATAGAGGAGTCTATGGGTTATTTGAAGTTTACATAAAGGCTGGAAATGACGTCCACCACTCTGTAGATCATGGACAGCTCTTTACATACATATATGATTTATTTTAAGCTTCGATACTTCATTTTCTGTGATAAATCAGGACAGTAAATTGACTTTTTTTTTTTTTTTTTTGGTCAGGCAGATAATAATTTATTATACAAAACCAAAGTCTTAAATGCAGCTCTCTCCTAACAATTTCATCATCTGAAACTCCGTTTCATCACATGCTGGTAGTATGACAACTTGGTACTTTTAGAAGTCATTTCAGAACAGATGTGATTTCATTGCAAAGGAAACATCATTTTTACTCTGAAGCAGTAATAGCTGAGATCTCCTCAAAACAAATCAGCTCAAGCATATTTGATAACATTTGTGCAAAATCTTCACCCGACGATGAAACATACCGCTTTTTTTCTCCATACCAACACAAAAAGTTTCTCAGATGTGCCAACCAAGAACGAACCCTCCTTCCAACACACAGCAGAAGTTGCAGCTGCAGGTTGCTTTGCTCAACACCCAGACTGCACTATTCATGTTTAATGCAGACTGCCCATAGAGTTTGTACAAGTTGTACAGGTTACTGAAAAATGGAAATGACTGGAAATGTGGAAAACAAAGGATACCTGCACAGAAACAGGAATCTGAGCATGCTGCAAAAATCAGTGGGTTTGAGGGCTTTTTTTGTTTGTTGGTTGTTGGGTTTTTTTTAATTCTTCAGATCTTTAAAGCAGCAGAAAAAAAATCAGATAGACAGGAAAGGAATGTCTGGGACAACTCTCATGTCTGGAATACACTGTAAAATAGGTCAGCCAAACACTCATCAACTCCTCCACTATCTTTTCTCTTGGTGTAACTGCTCTTTATGAAGGCTGATACAAGACAAAAGGCAGTCATTTGACCTCCACACACAAAGTCAGCATCACACAACAATTTGTTCTTCACTAACAAATGCCATATGATTTTTAGGTTTGTTTTTTTTTAAAAGCCTGTGCAATTAAATCTCCGATTTTCCTTTTTTAGAGCAACTTGCTGGTAAATTCTGCACTTCTTTAGATCCTGTTTTTGTCACAGGGAATCCATTTCCCGAGCCCACCATGGACAGCAGTGACACCCACTGCTAGGAATGCAAAGCACAGCTTCGTGTCCCCTGCACAGGGATTTCTGAAGTGCTTCTTGTTTTGTTTTGCTGTTTGTTGGTTGGTTTTGTTTTTCCCAAACTTGACCATTACAGCCCTTTGCCTGATGTAACCTAACTGCATCCAACACAGCTATTTTCAGCAACGACTTTCGGGTCAGGGGACAACCACACACCTTTGGGTTACCCCATTGGAAAACACAAAACTCTTCAAATAAAAATGATTAAAGAAATCAGCGCGATGTGTTGCTGCTACTATGAAAACACTACATCTATATTATTGGATTTTTAAGGGAAAAAAAGCTTTGAGGATTCAAATATTCAAACATTCAAGTGAATGTACTGTTACTCTGCTTCTTTCACATTCCCAACCACGGAGACCACCTCTCCTGCTGCTATGAAGAAGCATTGTTGTCACAACGACCAGAAGTTCATTCTCTCATTCAGCATTAAAATAACATACATTTCAGCTGCCTGTAATTTAAAGTTGCAGCTCCTAACAGAGAGACAATCCAGCTTTGGAGCATCCAGCTACTGCAGGCCACCACTGATTTACAGACATTTTTAAGGAATTAGTACTCGAAGTCCATCTACCACATTTATATTACGTTACAGTAGTAATGTGGCCACAGCATCTATTTACAGAAATAACTTTATCCCATAAAAAGAGCAGCAAAAGTAGTTAACACTGGAACGAAGGCAGCTTGCATCACTGTGTGATTTTGCCACAAAATTCTAGGAGGCAAAAGAGATGGAGGAAAATAACAGTCAGAATATCAGGGATATTCTGCCCTCAACAGAGCTGAAGTCATACAGACATCAGAACGGGAAAGAAACATAGCAGCCATGGTCACCAGCTTGAGAAGGGTTCAGTATCACAAAATGCTTCAGTGTTTTTACTAAACTGAAAGCAGCCAGAAGAACAGCAGCCGTTGCTTCTCCTGGACATTACAGAAAAGCCATCAAATCATAACTGACATCAATACAATTTGAAAGAAGAACAAAGCTTAAACGCTCTCAAGAAAGATGTTAAAGAAGATTCTTCACAAATAAAGGCATTCTGCCTGCCAGTGTTTGCCCAAGCAACATAAGTAGGTATCTGTGTTATGTAAGTGTACAGATATATAAATGTTCACATGTGAATTTTTCACAAACAGAATTTGGATATGCAAATATAAGAGCCCATATGAGAATAACTAAGAAGCAAGTTAAAAGCATTTTGGAAGAATCAGAGGGCATTTATAGAGATATATTTAAATCTATTACTTCACTGGTAGCCAAATTTCTAAGTACTTTTAGAACTGTTTGATACGTCAACATAGAACACACTCTATCAGGTACAAATAATCTC